AGCTTATATAAATTTCAAAGAAGCTCACAAAGTGCCAAATGCAGGCAACTTGGAAATCCAGCATAAAATGCCACACCTCAAAAGAACTGGTGAGAATTGTGGTCTCATTCCCCTGTCCTGCCAGCTGGGGGTGGGGAGGAGTCTCTTGCCACAATCCTGATACTGTGCAGTACTATTTAATCGCAAATGGGAAGACTCAGAAACATATTTCTGAGAACCCCAGAACATGCTGTCATTTATCCAGGTTTTATTTACTCATATAATTTAATATCAGTTTACTTGTGAATTTCTGGAGTTGCCGATTCCTGCAATAGATAAGACTCCCAAGTGTGTTGGCTACCATTCATTACTTACGGTGGAATGGGGCTTGATTTGTAGGAGGGAATTCTTGAAGATTTTAACTTCTGTTTAAATGAAACTCAGGTTAAGATTTTATGAAAGTGCATGAATTGGCATACAAGCTAATTTTATGAATATGTGGTGAGAACATGCTTAAAGTTCTGTATGTACTCTTACAGAGTCAATACGAGTGAACCACATAGGGAGGAAATTGCAAGTCATCCAGGAGGTGGTGTCATAGATATGTTGGCCCCTGTCTTCATTGTCTGGGTCCTTGTGAATTCTCTCTGTGACCTATCTCGACTACTGTGGCAAACCCAAGGTCTACCTGTCTGGACTGAGATTCAACAGAACCCCAGAGACTGAGTCCACATCCAATGAGGGTGTAGGCACATTTCTCTTACATGAGAACTGACCAGTGAAAACCCTCATTTGTAAAACATGTACATTGACCGAATTACTCAGATCACTAAAGGCCTTCCCCACAGGACTCTTTAAATAGAAAATTCTGTTACACTTTAAATATTGAGTCGTCTGGAAAGTCATGATGCATTTTACATAGAAAAACATAGAAAAATACATCATGATTTTTCCAACAACCCAATATTTTATATTAGCAATTTTGTGTATAATCACATCTCATACATCTTTTTTTTTTAAAGAGGTTTTTTGTTTTGTTTTGTTTTTGCTGTAGGGTATGTGCACTCGCCAGAGAGACAGAGACAGACAGGAAGTGAAAAATCACCCCCAGGGGGATGGCCATGCCACAATCCCTTCTCCTCCATTCTCCTCTCAGGATCTTGGGCATGCACGCACACACAGCCAGAGTTTTAAGCCACCAGATCTGGGACTCAAGCTGGGTCAACTACGTGAGAGTCCAGCAATGTAACCATTGCACCACCTGCTAGTCCCAATCAGTTTCTTTTTAAGAGTTATTTAATTTTATTTATCACTATTATTATTTTTTAAATTGGCTACAGGGCATGCATACTCACCAGAGAGAGAGAGAAGAAAAGTAAGAAAGCAAGCCACCAAGTCTGGGACTCCAACTGCAGTCAGCCATGTTGAAGTCCAACACCCTTACCACCATGCCACCTGCTGGCCCCTGAACATTAGTTTCTTACAAGCCAATTTTCTTTTTCTAATAAGATAATGTAACCTGTCATTTTACAGTTGTATTAATCTGAGACAGACACCCCCAACTATGTGAAGCTAGTAGTCACTTGTGTATTCTCTGAGGACATCTTCATGAATGTGTCGTCCTTGCTGCAGGCAGGTTAGAGTCCTCATGGAGAAACGGACAGTCAATAAACCAAGCTGACCCAGAGGCCAAGGTGGAGCAACTATTTGATTTAAATAACACAATCCAAATTTATTTATTTTCTTCCTGCTTCTAACCTTATTTCTTAACTATCAACATTGCCATTACCTCTACAGACATCCACATGCTACATTCATTCATCAAGTAAGTATCCTTGGAGCAAGTAGCATCCCCAGTTTTCTTATACTTAGTGGTAAAACCATCAAGGTAACATAATGGAATAATCAGTTCAGTTCTGTGAATTCGTCTTTGATGACTTTTAGAGAAAAATTATAGAGTTGGCTAAAGTACAGGAAACTTGTGTATTTTCCTGCCAGAAGGAAAAGTGCACATAAATTTTCTTTTTTTAATATTTATTTGTATTTGTTATTATTTTTTGAGAGGTTTTTGCTATAGGGTACATGCGCTCACCACAAAGACAGAGAGAGAGAAAGCAAGAAATCACCCCCCAGGGGGGATGGCCACACCACAATCCCTGCTCCTCCATTCTCCTCTCGGGATCTTGGGCATGTACGCACACGCGCCTGGCGTGAGTTTAAGCTACCGGGTCCTGGACTCGAACCACAGTTGACTACGTGGGAGTCCAGCAACATGGCCATTACGCTAACTGCTGGTCCCTGTATTTGTTATTATTTTTAATTTGACAAGAGAAGGAGAGCGAGAAAGTGACAGAGCAAATCACCACATCCGAGACTCGAACCATGGTCAGCCATGTGTCCAGCACCTTAACCACCACACCACTTGCTGGCACCAAGTGCACATATTTTTCAAACTGCCAAGAGAAAGGTGCCAGTGTGTACCAATATTCATAGAAGTTATTCAGCAAATGCTAGATCTGAAGACTTTAAATGGTCATTCTGTGATTAACAAGAAGTGAGCAAACCATGACTTTTTTTCCCTTAACAAAGTGAAATATGTCACAGAAAAATCTAGTTCTCAAGAAATACATGTATCATAGAAAAATTAAACAACTTTCTAAAAAAATTGCTATTAATTTATTTTACATTTTATATTGTGCAAATTCTTACATCCTAATTTTTTTGAGTTTTTTGTTTGTTTTTTGTTTGTTTGTTTGTTTTTTTGCTATAGGGCATGTGTGCTTGCTAGAGAGACAAAAAGAAATCACCCTCCAGGGGGGAAGGGCCATGCTGAAATTTCTTCTCCCCCAATCTCGGAATTTGGGCATGTCTACAAATGCACCGGGTGTGGTTTAAGCTACCAGGTCCGGGACTCAAACCACAGTCAGCCACATGAGAGTCTAACACCTTAATCACTATGCCACCTGCTGGTCCCCATCCTCCCTATTAATCTCTATGACTATTATGCTTGTGAGACTATCTTTCATTGTAGCATAAAATACTCCATTTCAAACTTACGTGTAAATCACTGTGACATAACACAGATATTTTTCAGTAGTGTACTGGGATAACAGCGTATTGAAGTATTTCTGATGGCTTACATGTTGTTATTGTGAACTAAGTCTGGACTCATAGCCAAATTTATATTTTTATTTGTTAACTATTTTAAATAAGATAGGTGAAAAGGCTTTAAAAGTGCTTCTTAAAGTGTCACGTGTTTAAAACGTCAAGTGGACACTAATGTGGCCGCCCATTAAAATGCCAGCAGATCTCGCGGGCTCCTCACAGTGTATTAGCGCACATCTGTTCACACGGCTCATTGGAAAAGAACCGGATAGTTTGAGTCAGGCCAGCCTGTGGTGTGGTGACTAAGGCAGCTGGTTCCTGTAAGGGTTAACTACACAGTTTGAATCCCAGACCAGGCAGCTTGAAAATCACACTGGGGCATGTGTGGGTGTGTGCCCCAAGTCCCACGAGGAGAATGGAAGAGAAGGGACTATGGTGTGGCCATCCCCTTGGGGTGTTTTCTCACTTTTCCACCCACCCAGGCAAGCCCACATGCCTTATAGTAAAAAGTTTTTAAAAATTTTTGACTCTTCCATCTCACTTTGGAGTGGAAATGCTGCCCAACCCTCACACTGAGTGTCTCGTAGCCCTAATTCCTCACTGTTTTTAATTTGGGTCAGAGACTTGGGGATAGACGGAGGGAGCGTGTTTAATGCAAAGTTATGGCCCAAATGTAAACACTGAAATCATCCTGAACACATTTCAACAGCAAACCACTTAGAAATAATAAAATGGACTCGTACATATTCGTAGGCTAAGTTTATCAGGCTATACTGCCAAAAATACTGGCTATGAATTACTACAATAATCATTCACTGAATTTAGTACATTTAACTTCTTAGTCTGAGTATAACGTGGTTTTCTTCAGACTCTATTTTTGTCCAATTAAAAAATAAGAGAGGGGGAGGTGGCTGTGTGTGTTTACTTTCTGAGCAGGGGTTTGTGTAAACACACACACATATCTGTGTATTTGTTTCAGAAGCGTCTATATACACAGTGGATAAGACTTGTACAGTTAACATAAATAAACTCCAGAAAAGAAATTCCAATGTACCACGTTCCCGTGCCAGTTCTGTATGCGTGTGTGTCAGTCTGTCTTTTTGATTCCGTGTTTCTTACCGAATATTGATAAGGCCCTTGAGGACAGATGTCTTAAAACAACTAGAAGCTCACCAGGAGGAAGGCAGAATGTCCTGCCCACGTCCACCTTCTCTCTGAGTGACCCAGGACGAGGTTAAAGGGCACCGACCATCCTGCCTTGTGTTCTGCCTAAAGGACAAGGCTTTCATTTGCTAAAGATCATTAGTCACCCAGATATATATTTTAGAACATTCCTAGTAGCGAATATCCCATTGGCAGTCACTGGAGTGTACCAGATGGCTCATTAGCATAGGCGAGACAAGTCAAAGGCTTTCAGAATCATTTAGAAAATGTCAAACAGAAACAAGAACCCTGTCACTTTTTATTAGAATTAACTACATCATACCCTGGACACAGATTTCACCTTGGGTCAGAAAAATTAATACGGAATTATATGAATTGTGTAATATACTGGGTTAAGATAGGTTTTTCTCTAGGGACTCATTTGCTGGCTATATATTATGATCCCTCTACTTGAGGAACCCTCAAACCTTTCTTTTTGTAAGATAGGAAAAGAGTTGACCTTGTTCAGAATCCATTGGTGTCTAATTGATTTGAGGTATATGCAGAATTTCAACAAGACATTCTTCTAAAGCTCTTCTGTGGCCATTTTTCCCAGGAAGCGTGGTGAGTGGGGCTTACTGAATATTCAGTAGTGTATAAAGTATGCTTTATGTCAAGAGGAAAATACTTCCATTAATTGAACACACGGCTTTAGTAAACAGGCACTAAAATGTCATTGAACTGGTGTTGCTTTTTTGTTTTTTTTAACGTAGATGTCAAAAATCTTGAGAACTTCCAACTGGTAGAAGGTGTCCAGGAACAAGTCAACGCTGCCCTGCTGGACTACACTGTGTGTAACTACCCACAGCAAACGGAGAAATTTGGGCAGCTCCTTCTCCGACTCCCCGAAATCCGGGCCATCAGCATGCAGGCTGAAGAATACCTCTACTACAAGCACCTGAATGGGGACGTGCCCTATAACAATCTTCTCATAGAAATGTTGCATGCAAAAAGAGCGTAAGTTACAACCCCTAGGTGCTCTGCTGTCAAAACAAAGAGACTTCGGGGGAGGGGGAAAAAAAACAGGAAGGAAAAAAAAATACTCTGAACTGCTCCAAGCAACACTAATTACAAACTTGGTTTAAAGATGTAAAAAGTCATAATAATCAGATACTTAATAGCAAATAAATGATGTATCAGGGTATTGCAAACTGTGAATCAAAGGCCTCACATCCCCAAGGATTCCATGTAAAAGACATTGTAACAGAGTGGACTGGACTCACAGAAAGATACCCACACTGCGTCAGAGTATACAGATGGACAGAACAGTTCTTGTATATTTAAACTGATCTCCACTATGAAGAAATTTAGGAACTAATTTGTGTCATTCGTTAGGCTTATACAGCTGGGAATTTGAGCTTACACAGTTCCTCTACGGTGAAAGCTGAACTGATAGAATTCTCCAGAAGGCATCAGCTGTACCTACAACAGCCCCCCTCTTCCTTTGAAAGTCCCAGCACCTGTTCCCCAGTGTTCTGGGAATCGCCACATCTGTGCTGAGGACCCGTGTTCCGCCACGCCCAGTGATCGCTCCGCCAAATCATGAGAAAGCCTAATTTTGAATGTCCATGTCTTTGACCTGCAAACAGCGAATAAGAACAGTCTATCAATATGTTAGCTTGCCATTTAAAATACGTTCTGACGTTTGTTTTGTCACGTGGTCATGTTAAAAAAAATAGGCAGTATCTCTCTCCTATCTTATATAAGCATTCATTAATATTAGGGATATGACTACAAACTTTTAAAGCAAATACTCCGTAGCTAAAGCAATTAGACCTATTTCTGCTACTGTTGCTGACATGTGGCCGGCATTGTTGGATTCCATATGAATTTCTGGTCGAAAGGCTTGTTAGGATACATCAGTCTTTTTCATCATTAAGGTTTGTAGTTCATTTAAAAATAACACACTAAACATATCTTGCTGGGACATCAGATAGTTCAGTTCTAAAGAGTTGAAAACGAAACTGAAGCATGTTAAGCTATGCAAAAAGTCAAGAAAGGATGAGCTGATAAATCGATCGAGGTTCATTCTTGTTGCAACCGAACATCCCCTAAACTTGGGATGAAGTGATGAATTTTACAGATGACCTGGAAAGATAATAAAGTCATTCAGATTTTTCCCAAAGGGGAAGAAAGGAAGAGAGTGATACTGACCATTCTAAGTCTTAGACCAAAGTCCGCTATGGAACAAAGAACTACAAACTGTCCAAACAACTCTATCAGTATTATTGATGCGCAATGCCACAGGTATGAGAGTCTTGCCTTACTTCACGATTCTAAAAGGTAGCTGTGCAGAGGTGGATCAACATTTGTTCAAAATGAAGTATTACTACTTTACCATCAAATAAAATAGAGTGTTTACATTCTTTAGGTCCTGGGTGGGGGTGGGGAGGCAACCGTGATATTGCAAAATAGCAAAAGCAGTAATTTCCTTAATGTTATTTTTCTGATTGGTAATTATTTTTAACCGTACGTAATTATTGTATGTCGTGAGACACTAAAATCAAAAACGGGAATCTCATTCAGACTTTAATTTTTTTTTTTGAGATTATCGGCGGCACAATCACTTGTAGAAACTGTAAAAAATAAATAAAGTATCTCCTAGTTCCTTAATTTTTTTCATAAATGTTTCTCGCTTTTGAATAGTTTATTTATATTGTATATCCTAGTTTCGACTGTAGACAATTACGATGCTAATTTATTGTTCCTCGGTTTCGCCTTTGTATAAGATATAGCCAAGACTGAAGAAGCCAAATATACGTGTTTACTGTAGCATGTCTTCAAGTTAGTGGGACACAGTTCAGGGACAGAGAAGGGTCTTCATGAATTCAAATCATTCACTTGATTCAATGTCTGTAAATCTTCATGATTCTGAACTGTAGTTTATTTAATATCTATTGTAAATTATGTGACTTATAGCTTCCTGTTTTCAAGTAAACTTAAGGTGGAGTCTTACCTAGTTTTCCTTTCCAGGCATTGTAAGTTGTATACCAAAGATATTAGTTATTACTTCTGTGTTTGCACAGAGGATTATTTTATTAACCGCCTCTAATACTCCTCCACAGGAAGAGTACATGTTACCTAAGTTGGGCGTCGACTCACAGAATCTCAGTCTCTGCATTAATTCTTGGCTCAAAGGACAAGAGGCACATAACTGATCGGAGCTCTTGTCCAGAGCATTAGAGAGAAGAGCAGATCATTGATCGCCCCAGTTAGAGACCAAGCTGGCCAGAGGACACATGGGTAGGATGGCGTGGTGGCATTTAATGAAACGGTTCCACGGTGCATGTGTCACACATGTGGAGACGATTATGAGATTTAGAGGGTCTTTAACGTTGCAAAATCAAATACACGGAGTTCTTAAAATCCATATTTTCTTATTTTAAAATTAGACTACTCCCCACTGAACATTAAGCCTAAAAAAAAAAAAGAGTCAAATGTTGGTATGTAGTTAACCTGGTCGATTACACCATGAGAACGAAGACAACGCAGAGGGCTACATCCACGCTGCAGGTGACACCGAGGACAAACACGATGCCACCGTCAGCGTCTGCAGTCCAAGATTGGAAATGGAAAGTTCTCTCCTGTTAGCTTTAACTGGTCTGTAACTGGATATTTCCTTGGCAACTGCTTTATCGATTACAGAAATGATTAGTAAAAGCAGACTCAAACAGAAAGGTTTGCGACTTAGCTTGGTTTATTCGAATTGGTCTACGGTTGTAAGCAGACAATCTCTAATGTCTGAATATTTGTATTACACCCCGGGAGCTGCCTGGGATTTGAATCCACGCAATGTTTAGAGTGTGAAGTCGGTTACTTGTTGACGTTTTCTTACTGTATCAGTGAAATACATATTGTCATGTCAGTTCTTGCCAGGAATTTCTCAACAAAATGGAATTTTTTTTTCAGTATTTCAATAAATATTGATATGCCCAGCCTGATCATTTTTAAAAGTTTTTATGTTGTCCTTATTCTATTGAGTAGTAAAACATCTAAGTAATTAAGATATCTGACTAGGAGAGAATTAAAACATTCAACAAGCATAAATACTTCTCCCTTTCTAAATATTTTCTACAGTGATGTATCATTCCACATTGGCTACTCAAATCATCAAACTGAGTATCTCCACATATGAAAATACATTTTCTTTTATTCTTTTTTCTTTTTTAAAAAAATAATTATTTCCTTAATTTTATTTATTTATTCATTTATTTTAATTTGGCTAGAAAGAGACACAGAGAGAGAGAGAGAGAAAGTGAGAAAGCAAGCCACCAGGTTCAGGACTCAAACCATGGTCGGCCATGTGGAAGTGTCCAGCTCCTTAACCACCACGCCACCTGCTGGTCCCCTTTTTTTTTTCTTTTTAAAAAATTTTATTTATACATTCATGTATTTTAATTTGACCAGAGAGAGAGAGAGACAGACAGAGAGAGGAGAAAGCAAGCCACCAGGTCCAGGTCTTGAACCGTGGTCAGCCATATGAGAGTGTCCAGCACCCTAACTACTATGCCACCTGCTGGCCCCATTTTCTTATATTATTTACTGTTGAAACTAAATGGCAAAAAAAAAAAAATTCAAAATGAACAGCATCTATATGTGTTTTTTAGAACAGACTTGTGATCTAAGAACTTTGTCAAGTGCTTTATTAATTCCCTTGATTCTCAAAACAGCTTGAAGAAGTGGCACTGCCGCCATCGAGCCCCTTAGTCAGTGATACGTTAGTCAGAGGGACAGCAAGGATTGACTCCAGGATCAATGCTCTCAGACCTCACCTCTCATTCTGTCTCTAACCAGGAGGACACAGGATCTGCTTCAAAAGTCAAAGGAACTAGAGAAAATCGGGCATTGGGTCACCACAGAATGTACAGCTGTTAATTAATGACTCAGAAACATGAAAGCCTTGAACTTTCTGGAGTTTAACCGTAAAAACTAAGGGCCCCATGTCCTCTAGTACCATTAAGCCTTTGAAGCTGTTTAGAGCAACAAAAAATCTACAAAATCCATTTTAATAATTAAAGTTATAAACGATGCTTATGAAACGTCATGGTCCGGCCTTTCCCCCTGCAGCTCCACTGTTTCTGTCCCCCTCTGGGGCCAAGGTAAGCAGGAGGCATGAGTCCCCTGCCAAGCAGACAGATTTTTCTTAGGACCCTACAAAAAGATACAAACCAGTCAGACCCAAAACACTGCATTCAGGGTCTAGTAGGTTACAGAACTCAGGTTTAGGTGTTTTTGTGTTTGTTTTTGTTTTTTAAGTTTATATCTTCTGTGAAACACTCACCCTCAACGGGTTCTTCACACTGCATTCCACCCCCAGCCTCAGCCAGCCAGGGTAACAGGCTTCACAGACACCACCTACAGGGAGGCCTCAGGATGAGAACCCAGGACCTTCCATGGAGCCTCCACCACAGTAGCTGGCCAGTGGAACTTGGATTTGTTAAGCAACTCAACAGTGCTGCAAACACACCTCTCTAGTCAGCCTCTACATAGGAAGGACTTGAACAATTACTCCTGACAGTCCATGAAATAGGAAAAAACATAGGTTCGTATTTAACTGAACTATAACTTAGAGGAAAGTGCAGATGGACAAATGTTCACATTTACATGCACAAGTCTGGGAGGCTAAAGGACACAGATTACCTGTTTTTGCCAGCAGGTGTGCACACTCACCAGAGCATGACACAGAGTGAGGAGGCACCCCACAGGGCACGATCACACCACAGGCCCTTCTCCACCGCTCCTTGTGGGGTATTTCTGACATGCACGCATATGCACCCTGCACAACACTGGGTCCAAACCCCACGTTCGGCCATGTGCGATCTGGCTGCCTTAACCACGGGCCACAGAGCTGGCCTGTTCATGTTTCATAAGGAGTAGTACCCACTTGTAAAATGTTAAAGGTTTCTCACAGCCGACCTGGCAGCTGCAGGGTCCCTCTGATGTGAGCAGAAGCATCGCTTCTGTCACTTGGAATGACACGTACCAAGTGGCTAAATCCAGAGCGTGAGGCAGCCCTGGGAAAAAAACGGCGCGTGCCAGCAAGCATCTGATTGTTCTATTTAATACTCAAAGTAACTGAAGAGGTTTGTAGCTTTAACTGAGTTTGACGTTCAGTTTGAAGCCATCTCTGATGTATATTTTTATGAGAAACATGTGGGGAGTTTGTCCAACATAACACAGGTCGGAACAGTGCAAGCCTTAGTAATCTTGACATTTCCCTGGGCTAATGATGACAATTTTCCTTAACACTGAACAGGAAGTCTATGGTTTAGTCACTCAGAAGAAATATTCTTGCAGTACTTTAATTGTTTGACATAGGCATTGGCTCTCTGTCAAGGTGGGAATTAATAATTCAGTGACACACATTCGGCTACGATGGTGGTTTCGTCTGTATAAAAACTAAGAGCCAACTTGTGAAAAATGTTTTTGGTGCTAGGAAAAAAAAAAAAAAAAAGGAAAGGAATGGGGCCAGCAGGTGGTGTGGTGGTTAAAGCACCAGACACCACCACATGCCAACTGCGGTTTGAGTCCCAGACCCGGTGGCTTGAAACTGCTGCCTGGCACATGTGCATGAGAGCCCAAAATCCCAAGAGAAGAATGGAGAGGAGATTGTGGCATGGCCATCCCCCTGGGAGGTGATTTCTCACTTTCCCTCCCTCTGTCTCTGTTGAGTATACATGCCATATGGCAAAAAAAAAAAAAAAAAAAAATACCATGTCAGTCAGATCCAAAGGCAGGGATGAGCCAAGCTTCCGAAGACAGCTGACGTGTGTCTTAATTCTTCAACATGGCAGAGCCCACCCACTGCTCCAACAGCAGCCCTGTCCCTGGCAAGTTCGGGGACCCCATTTCTCTGAGGGTGAAGCCCAGCTCAAAAGAGCTGCAAGAGACTTCGAAAGGTATGTGGAAGATGAACTTTATAAAGTATGAGTTTATTTTAGTGCAAACAGTTTTGAAACCCATGCCTACATAGTTTCTTAGTACACATTTTCCATGACCTTTTGGAGACCCCACATATAATGGGATTAGGGCACCTTAGTTACAGGAATTTAAACTCCTCAGGGTGCGCCCACCGTGGACCCTTGGCTCACAACCCTCACTGGCTCTCTCCACTCCTCTTCCCACACAGCCCCTCACATCAGCCTCTCCTCTCCTTCCCTGCAGCGGTCAGTCTGGCCGTGGCGGCTCCTCAACCACCGACCGCGGCCCCCCAGGTTCCACTGCAGCGCCAAGTGCCCAGATCTCTGCACACCGGCTGAACAAAGAGCGGCCAGAGGGACCGGAGCGGTGCTGGGGGCCCCAGAGCAGGGGTTTCTAGGAGGTGGGTAGATAGGACGAGAGAGATTTTGACACAACAGGAAGAAGAAAATGATGAACGAACAAAGCCATCCAAAAATGAAACCCAGTATAATGGAGGCTGGTGACCTCCCAGGACCTGTCCCACCTACTGCTGAACTTGGCCACAATGTTGGAGTGTGACTCCTACATGTCGGGGTTGGGTCACCTCGAATGGCCCTCAGAAGAGCATGGCCGGCCAAACACACCCGGCCCCAAACTCTAAGGAGGACCTCCACCTCACTTCCCCCTCCCAGAATATTTGCTTGTGCTTGGGGCTGGCAGGTGGCGTGGTGGTTAGGACGCTGAACTCCCACGGTTTAAGTCCAGGACATAGTAGCTTACTTTCTCACTTTCCCTTTCTCTCTCTGGTCAAATTAAATAATAATAATAACAACAACAAAGATAAATAAATAGATAGATAGATAGATAGATAGATAGATAGATAGACAGACAGACAAATTGCTTATGCTTTTAGAGCCTGTTAGAATAGCAAGATACTGAGATGCTGAGTCCAGCCGACTGCAGAAAATTAAATGTTTAAATGCTGAGTTTATAAAGCTCATTTCGGTATTTATGATGCAAGAGAGAAATCATCACCTGCCACACATGTTCGACCAATTCATACTTAAAACAGGCAGCCATTAACATCCTGAAGAAGGAAACGTGTCTATTTCTGAAAAGTTGTGCTCATACCCTCGAAACCGCTGCTCCTGCATCTGCTGTGTAGTTGAAGACAGCTGGTCGTCCTCCCACCTCCTCTGTGAGGGTCGGAAACGCCCTGACGGTCACTGAGCTCGTCCGATGGTGCTTGCTCTCCCGGGCTTTCCTCACTGTAATCCCTCCATTGAAGAAGTTGCACTGAAGAAAAAAATATCTTAATGAAGGAAACATTTTCCTTTTATCAAATGTTAATTGAGCATCTACTATGTCCCCAAAGAACACGTACTACAGAGAATTCATTAAAATATCAGTATCCTGGGGGCCAGCAGGTGGCATGGTGGTTAAGGGCGCTGGGCTCCCACATGGCTAACCACAGTTCGAGTCCTAGATCTGGCAGCTTGCTTTCTCACTTTCTCTCTCTCTCTCTCTGTGTTTCTCTCTGGTCAAATTAAAATAAATACAGTTAAATAAAATGAATCTTCTTTTAAAAAAAATCAGTATCTTTTTCCAAGCATTTATAAGGAGTTTTCACAAAGTTCAAGGAAAATGGGTATTATAAAAAAATTATGCGTGAATTTCAAAAGGTTTTTTTTTTGCATCAAATCTAACTCATATATTAGCTCTATGTTTTTATTAACTTTCTGAAGCGTCCGTGTCCACGCGGAGCACTGTGGGTCATGTACAGTACTATGACCGACTGTTAATTGTCTCCCCAAA